TCCCTGATAAGTTGTTATTCCAGAAAATAAAAATAAAAGTATTTATTTATTTATTTATTTATTTATTATAATCAACGCCAGACGGCTTTTACAAAATAACAGACAAGAAGAACATAGATAACAGTATGAAACATATTATACAATATATGTAAGATTGCAACTTATACTAACTTAATAATAGAGAGAAGAAAAAGAATTAGTAAGTAATTAAAACAAAATAACAATGTGGTGTAAGTAATGTAAAAAAAAAAAAAAAAATAAAAAAAAATGTGAGCCTTCGTACTACATATGGCTTAATAGTCTATATGATTATTTGCATTATGCATCATTTGAAAGTATTGTAGTCTTTAAGAATGTATACAATTTCAAAAATCATAATGTGAATAAATTATATTGATTAAATGCTTGTTGAATCATTCTGTATATTCAGTACCTACATAATAAATCATTATTATGACATCACGGGTTCCGCAGTTGCAAATATAGGTATGATACTAAAAAATTTGATTATACCGTTACGCAGAATAGTCCACGGCGATCAGATGGTAAATTAAATTTTGAACAATAATATCAAATACCTACTGTTAATTTTATCGAATTCTGAACAAAAAATATGAATAAAAAAATTTAACTCTATGCTTCGGAATGTACTATATAGGTAATAACAATATTAATTCTAACAGAACAAAGTAGTGCATAATACCTGTAGGCGAGTTTATTCCTCCAGGTCTTGCTGCATAACTACGCCTGCTCGCAATGAGCTGCACGTAATAATAAGACTAAGTTTTAGATTATAATCGACTAAAAAATTATAATACAAGTACAACAGACTATTATTAAAAGAATATGTACGATATTAACAACTATCACAATTTTACATTCGGATTATTACAGGGACGGTAAAGTACAATAATATTCAGCTCGTTGCAAAGTCAGCAATCTCTACTTTTTTTTAAATAAATGTTTTGATAATATTCATATTAATATAATACTTTTTACTCTGCGTCGATTGGTAACACTAATTTTTATCACATAATATAATCCCCCATCGAGATAAAACGTTTTAATACTAGCTGATCTCAGCAAAGAGAACAATCTCCAATCATAATACTATAATACAATACATTGTCTACGTTTCTGTGGCAAAAGCAGCAATCTCCCTCGGTTCCGCAGCAAATTTGCCAAAGTCCATTTTCCTTCCTTTATTATTTAATGTTATCGACATTTAACAAATTGGAATACAGGGAATAACACCAAACTTCCACTATCAATCAACAAAAATAAAATATCATGGAAAAATACAAGAAATAAATGTAAAACAGTTTTTCGACATTTACCAAAAATCACTGCGTTTGGAGATTGCTGACTTTGCTACATAACGCCTCATAATCTACTATCATTATTATTATGTGGACATAATAGTATGGATAGGATTTAAATTTTAAATGCAATAAAAACTGATGAAATATATGCGATAAAAATTATTATGATAAAATAATAAATACCAAAAAAATATTATTAAATTAATACTTAGAATACTGCAAAAACCTTTTTACAAAAATCTATTTTCTAAAATTGTCTACTCTAAATACATAATAATATGTGAAATTTTTAAAATATACCAACAAATATGATAAAGTTGACACTTTATTACAAAAATATTTTTAAAATTATGTTCTAATAGGTATCTAAAAAAGAATATTCTATTAAAGTTATTAAATGGCTATTCAAATGTATTATACATTTATACATAATATGTATTTGTACATGAAAAAATTGTGTATATTTTAATGTTATGAAGAATTATATTTCATACATTAAAGTCCAACTGTTAGACTCTCGCAGAGTATCGTGCATTTTTGAAAATTTAAAACACCATGTGTATTCTATTATTAATTACACACGGTGTTTTAAATTTTCAAAAATGTACGATACTCTGCCACTCTGGTAGAGTCTAACAGTTAGACTTTAATATAATATTATGTTCTTGTAAGTTGTAGGCATATGTACTAAAACTCAGTATCACATAACGAAGTTTTCAAGCAACAAAATGTTGTTACTTCCCCTGGAGGTAGACTTGGAAAATCTTCATAGAGAGTATTGTCATTTAAATTGTAATGTGTCATAAACATAGATTTTAGTCCTGTATTTTTTTCCAACACATTTTTAAATTTTTCTTTGACCCTTTTTAGCAATCGTTTTTTTGTTTTGGCCAAGTTTGAATTTGGTGTTTTCAACAATCTCCAAACTTCTATCGAGGAAAAGTAAGGTATTTTCTAAATTGAAATTGAACTTTAATAATTTTGAATCATATTTGAGTGTGAAAAATATTAATATTTTTAAATGCTTGAAAATTCACTTAAAAATTAAAATATTGTAAAATCAACGAGAAAGCATATAATATAAAGGTCTTACATTTAAGTTTGATAACAAGCTTTTGATAATTCACTTTAATATTTAAGCTAACAATACAAAATTGTAACTGCTTGAGCTTGACGTACATTTTGGTATAATATTATTCGTTAGTAAGACGGATACAAAATATTAGGCAGGTACAAAGTCTTCAACGACAAAATATTTAAGTTACACGTACCTATACTGCTATTGATTGTAAACACTAGCATTTATAATCAATGCTACTACTTACGTCTTATTTATTACAAAAAAAAAAAAAAAACATTATTAGTAATCATTTATTAGGCCATAATTATTATAAATACTAATTATGAAAAAAATATAAAACCAACGACTACCACAATACAAATAACTACAAACGAAACACACAAGACGGAATATTATGTGTGTAGGTACGAATAGATGAACAATGTACTCATAAAATTAGTTCGTGTATAGATAAAATAATATTATTGGCGTTGAATAATCTCAGATAATATAAATGAGAAATAGCCCACACATATATTCTATCGTATAAATTTTTTTTAAATATTATGTAGGTATATAAGTACACAAATATATTTTATTATTTTATTTTTAAAAAATGTATAGGAAAATGTGATTATAACTAATATAACTACAAAATATGTGTGAAATTATAGGTAGCACTATACACTTAAAATGTGAATATAAAAAAATATGCACTAATATATTATAAAAAAAGAGTTAAACAAAAAAATATTACCATAAGATCCTATAATAGTACTCTGAAAAAAAATGTAAACATAGATCGTTATGTTTAACAATCTATAACCTATTGACCTTCACTATGTTTTGGATCACTGTTGGAAAACATACTAACGTCTTTAAGTCCCTAGCCCTAGACATAACCCACGGTTGAGATTTTTGTTTTAAATTGTTTTATAGTTAGTACCTAATTTATTGTTATTTTTAATTGTTAAAATATGAATAAACATCAGTACATCACAACATAAATCGCGTAGTTATCTTTTCCTGGCTTTTCCTGGCTTTGTAAAATCACAAACGAACAAACGAAATGCAAATAATTTTTTAAATTTTAATTCGTCTGACATTATATTTTGTTTTTATATCCCTAACACGTTTTTTATAACTTTTTTCATTTTATGTGCAATCATTTCACATAATCATACAATTTAATTTGTTTTAAATATTTGACTGTTTTACTTGACATACGTGACGCCAGCTTCTCCCATTAAAAAATATATTTATTTTTTTAATCAATAATTGGCAAAAGTTTAGCTTGACCAATTTCATCACGAGCACGACATCAATGTTCCTGGAATCGTAAAAAGCAATGTGTGGTGCAGGTTAAAAATATCGCTAGCATCGTCCAATAAAAAATGAATATTATATATTTTTACATTGTTATAATTTAGCATGAATTTGCAAGGCTATATCGTTGAAATTCTCACGAATTTTATTTATATGTAAATATGTAGGGTTTTTTTTTATAGAAATTGTACGACGCTGCGTCTTTCCAGCAACCCTCTGGGAACAAACTTATCGGACATTAATGGATTACTCACTGATTTTGTTAGTTTTTATTTTCACCAGTAGAGCTTTTTAAGTTTTTTATTCTGTCAATTATACTGCAACATCACAACATTGAGTTAGTGACTTTTCTTACCAAATTAGATTAGGTATTATACTTAAAATCTATTTTAGGCATTAAAAACTTGTGATTCTGTAAAAAAAAAAATACCTTTTTTCAAATTCTAGAAACGAATTTATAATTATTCACATATTATTATAGTACATTTATTGAATAGTTTGAACAGTCAACGGGCTACGTGAAGGTGGCCACCGAAACAGCTCTTAGCGTATACTATTTTAATGACCATTATTGTTTGTGAATTATTCTAACGATCAATTTTATTCATTCGGACAAAGTTTTTGGGGAGATAACTTCGCGGATATGTTTCTCCTAATGGTTTAAGTGATTTTTTTAGGGATAAAAATGTTTTTCAGTTTGAAGGGATCTTACTAAAATGTTGCAAGCGCTCGTACACAATAGTACAAAATTAATTACATACTAAATATTTTGCAGTAATTTATTGTTGTTCGTTTAGGGAGATGAGTAGGTACCTATGTCATATTTTCCGATAAGTATACTTATAGCCAAGCCCGGATTAAGGGGGGGGGGGCAGGGGGGCCAAGTCCCCAGGGCCCACGTGTGTAAAGGGCCCATAGTCTCCTCGGCTTGAAATTACATCGAGTGATAATTTTCACTTTTTATAGTACCTGCAAGAATATTTTTATTTTAAATTTTTTTCTTGTTTGAACTAACATGCGATGGGGCCCGTCGACCGTGTTTATCACCTATAGCATGGTAAGTGGGGACACATAGCGTCATAGCCAGGTTTGTGTGTATAAGGAATAGGCATATATTTTGTTATCACTGTATTTAAAAATAGAATTGGGGAAATTTGTTCATGACGTAAAACTTTAACTGCACTTAGGGCCGATTTCACCAACACAGTTAATTACGGTTAAAGTTAACCATAGTTTTAATCGCCCGAATTTGGCCGGTTAAATATCTGTTATCAGCCGATTAAGCGTTAACCATGATCAATTGTGTTGGTGAAATCGGCCTTAGTGGTATTGATAAATTTCGGGTTGAAACCCATCATGTTATAGTTGATAAATTTTGCTCAGAACTGGACAAAAAAATAAATGCATATAGTGTAGTGGTTGAAAATTTTTTATTCTTAACTAGACTACATGTTGAGTCTACTATTGATGTTGAGAAAAGTGTTAATAAATTCATTAGTGTATATGAAGATGATGTTGATGATTCAATAAAGTATGAAATAGTACATTTCAAGCAGTTTTGGAATCAGTTAAAACCAACATTTGATGGAAGTGATGTAGACACTCAAGATATTTGAATGGAATGTAATGTTAGTAATATTTTCAATAAAATTCATATTGCTTTAAGAATATATCTTACCATTCCTGTTGCTAATTTTACTGCTGAGCGGAGGCTTTTCGAAGTTGGCCAGAATTAAAAATAAAAATAGATCTTCTCAAACACAAGATAATTTGTCATCATTAATGATTTTATCAACAGAAAATTATGTTCTTCAAAATTTAAGCTTCGATAAAACATTAGAAATATTTGCTACTCAAAAAGCTAGAAAAAAACTTTTACTTAAACAATACTTAATTTTATTTGTAAATATGTATTAAAAAAAAATTATGTTTTTAATATTTGTATTCTCATTAATTATCATATATTATCATTTATTATGATTGTTATCATATTTAAATAAAAAGGTTTAAATTTGTTTTATTGTATACCTACTTTTATAATTTTAAAGAATTGTTTTTATTGATGGGGGGGGGGACACAACTGTGTATTGGCCCCTGGGCCCCTAAAGGTCTTAATCCGGGCTTGTTTATAGCGTACGTACTGGCGTACTGTATGCGTATAGCTTTTTGGTGGGTTAGCATACCTAATACATTACTGTACATGAGTACCGTTGTGAAATTTATAAAACAAATTCGAGCTAATTTTTGATAAAAGAACAAATGTATTTTGAATGTGTACCTATAATAGTGGAACGAGCATACTAAAAACTGGTAAAAAGGCAGTCATGTCGACCGGAAGTCCTTCGAATGAAATAAATGAGTGTACCTACCTACGATATTCGTTTTCTTATAAACACTGTAAAAACGTCAATCCATGGTTGTAGATTAAAATTAACTATACTCAATACATTTTATGATAACCATAATATATATTATAGTCGATATAACGAATTCCCACAGTGTAATCGAGCTTATAAAGTCAAAACCACTGTTTGTTTATTATTATAAGTACATTAAAATGTTATTAAGGGGCCTCACTACCAAGTCTTTTTTTCTTCAAAAACTACTGTTTCTAATTCCAACGATACGTGTAGACAATTATCACGATTTTCATTCTGAAAAGATATTCTGATTGTCCGTAATATATACAAGGGAACGATCGAGCCACATTTTTAATTTTTGTAATTTAAATTGCAATAAAAATTGTAAAAAAATCTAAAAAAAATACAGAATTTCCAACTTAAATATTTAATTAACTAAATACAATTTTAAAAATGTGCCTCGATCGATCCCTCGTACATGTTGTGGAAAATAAGAATATTTTGTCAGAATGAAAATTGAGGTAATCGTTGCGACGTACTGTTGGAATTAGAATCGTATGTTTAAGTGAAAAATAAGCATTTTTTCATGATCACAATATTATTAAATATTGACATGTGTGTGCGAGTGCGTGCGAGAGCTACAATTGACCCGCATGGACGCCACACACAATAATAATCATTTACGACTAACACATAGATCTCGGGTGGCGACGACGAGATTAGAAATTGCCTAAATGATTCTCCTTAAATCAATGCCATTGCGAGGCCCCTTAACATGAACGGAATTATGTTATAATAAATTTATAGTACAAGCTACTCGCAGCTTGCGACCTCATTACAACCTCGGACCTCGTAACTCTGGTAAATCAGTGTAGGTACATATTATTGATAATTATCGTTATGCACACCATGTAAGTCGGTAGTTATGCTGTTAAGATTTTTTTAGTTTTCATTCACTTCAGAGGTGTACAATGTAAAACAAACGTGCTATAATAAAGTAGTAAAAATCTTGACTTTATAAATTATTTACGATGATCATCAAAACAAGTCTCAATTTAATATGAATATCAAATTGTTTATGGAAGTCGGAAGATGCGTTCAATCCAAAAAATAAAACATAAATCAACCATTTAAGGGAAATCAATCAACTATTTATTAGATACCTATTTATACATGCAAAAGTAAATAGATACAAACCGCTTATAACCAAATAACATTTTTTTTTTAAAATTAACTGTGACTCTTATCACCTTACATAAATAAACGATTCATATTATTTATTGCCTTGTAGCTTTGATATTCGATACACAATATGCATCAAAATTCCTGAAAAAATATTCAGCTATGAAAAATTATATTAAAAACGTATACCTAATGTTTGTAATTATTTAAAAAATTAAAATCTCGACATGACTTGCTCTTAACTTAACTCTTACTCACTTATTATATGTATAAAAACTTAGAAAAAAAAAAAACAAGATTATGAAAATAAAAAATGGATTTTCATGAAATACTTAAAAATATGGAACAAAATGCCTTGAGAAGTATAATTAATATACCCTTCGTACATAAAGTTAGTGTTTGCTGTAAGAGATTCAGCCGGTTTATATTCGATTGTTTTTTTTCCTCGTTTTACGTTGTAGCCAGAGGTCTTGCGTCAAAGAGACCTTTTGAACTTTGAAGTCGTTAGTCGACCCTATCCGTAGAGTATACCTACAAAAAGAGCTGACCATTCTCATAATAATTGGTCGGTGCATTCACGTACTTATATTATAGTTTCGCAGCGTGTAAAACTCAAAACTCTATAACACAATATTGACCATTAATTGTTAAAATAAATGTGTGTGTGTGTGTGTGTGTGTGTTTGTGTGTGCATAGAAATGGTATGGGCTGTTGTATTTCCGAAACCTTTTCGTGTTAGTATACTCTCAATGTGCACTTCGTATAGAACTGCAAGTTATGTACCTGCGTACATAGAGCTTCTGTATCGAGATTCCGTCACATTCGGGCTCTGGCCCAATAAACCATGACCAACTGACGAATCGTCCACTACTGTGAAGGAAAAACATGAATCAAGAGATAAAAGGCAAAGCCTGGAGCTCTATATACGCCGTAGGCCGTCCTACAAAGGCAAGTCCAAGTGCGGCCATATTCATCGGGTGGTTTGTTGAAATCGCACTTTTTTGAACAAAACAAAATCGTCAAACAACGCAGGATATTTTATATTGAATATATATTTTTTTTTTACAGAAACGTTATTAAAAAAAAAATTTAAATACACCCTTATTGATAAAGTTTGATGCTCTGTCCAGCTAGAAGACATGTCGTGTCCTGACGAAAATCGGTTCTCCAGCTCACCCCCACGAGATACCCTGCCATAATGGAACCTCGGTTACAATGGTAAAGCAGTGGGGTAGACTTGATTTTTGAAAGAGGGGGGATAAAAAAAAATGCGTAGCTAAATGGGAGGGGAAAATTGGAAAATCCCCCACCCTCTAAAAACTTTTTACTAAGGTAATTAAAAGCCAATGGGGGGATTTGACCCCCACGTCCCCCTCTGGCCTCTACATCATTGTGGTTGAGTGTCGCATAGGGATGCACAGAATCGAAAGTTTTTTATTAGGTCGATGTAGAGATATTAATTTAATTTGGTGTGGCAGTTGGAAAGAAGCAAGGACATTTTTATTTAATTTTAAGTAGTTAGCCCCCAAACTCATAGAGAGTACCTATCCGATTTCCTTCTCATATTTTACTGGAACAACTAAATATGCACAATCAGATAAATAAATAGTAAGTACCTACTCAATAATAATAAAAGACTACCTAAAATATTTGTTTGCGTTGAATTAATCTTTAATAATATACCTAATGGGCAATGGCTAATTATTGATATATTACATTGTTTAAAACTTTAAAATAAGGAAATAGTACGTAGTAAAATTAAAACATATATTACTACTTCAGAAAAGTTACGTTATACACAAAACCGTGTTTTCAATAACTATTAGTATTTTATTTGGAAAAAAGTGTATTAAAACTTAACACTAAAAATAACGATACCATTCAATCCCAGGTCTATATTAACAAAAGATTCACTCTGTGTATACAAACCTAAAATTCAATACATTTTTATAAGAATAGAAAATAGTACCTACCTAAATTTGAGTTATGGTCCCACCAGTGGCGCCGATCACCTAATTTATCTATGACATCTATATATATAAAAATGAATGTATGTCTGTGTGTCTGTGTGTCCATGTTACCATGGTTACCAAGGTTGCCATGGTTACTAAGGTTACCAAGATTTCATATCAATCTATCTATCTATATATATAAAAATGAATGTATGTCAGTGTGTGTGTCTGTGTGTCCATGTTACCATGGTTACCAAGGTTGCCATGGTTACTAAGGTTACCAAGATTTCATATCAATCTATATATATAAAAATGAATGTATGTCAGTGTGTGTGTGTGTGTGTCCATATTACCATGGCAACCATATCTGTATATAAAAAACAGTAAGCTGATTGACTGCTATCAACGCACAGCTCAAACCATTGGACGGATCTGGCTGAAATTTGGCATACGGATAGCTATTATAATATAGACGTGCGCTAAGAAAGGATTTGCCAAAATTCGCATTTTAAATAGGTGCTGAAACAGGGACATTGAGATTCACGATAGAAATTGGAAATTTTATTTTTATTTATTTATAGTTGCCATTGGTTACAGTCTACATTAGAAATTAGCATTTATTTATTGGTTGCCATTGGTTATTCGGGCAGATCAGGTACAAGCTTGCATCAAATCGAATTATTGAACAATGCTTACCAGGGTGGCAGAGTTGCACTTACCGCAGAAAATTACACCCAAAAGGAGTTCAACAATCATAATTTTTTTAAGAGTTGCGATTTTTTACGAGCAACCAAATTTATTATATTAATCCACAGTATTACATCAAAATAAACTTGGTATAACTTTGATACTTTAGAGTTAAATCATACACTTCCGTACAAACAGCACGGGGTCCGCGATCTACCGCAGGTAGATTGCCTACCTGATAATGTACTGCTGCGATTCAGAATTTTTATTCAGGGCAACGGGAAAGATAAGATAAATTTTGAACACCATACACGTTAATGAATTGAACAAAGTTTGAGTAGGTAGTATTGAGTTGATCCATTTAACGGGCGACGAAGTGCACGGGATCAGCTAGTATTGATATATTATTATGTCATAGTAGACTTTTTTGGTGGG